ACTGTTTCAATGTGCATCTTGTGACTCAGAACATATAAGAACATTTTTAGTGTATAGAGCTAATTTTGGAGTTTTCTCTTCTGTATTATTTTTATATATGTAATACTTTTGAAAATACAGCATTCTGAAAGATGATGAATCATTTATACCCTGTACTTCATGATTTTCATCTTGTATGAATTTGCTTTAAATGAAAGTGAAACCTTTTGATTGCTACACTTTCGGTGTTTCCCTATTGAAAAATATTAAAAATTTATTATTTTTCAGGATAACCTACATATTTCTATTACTATATAAGTGGAATTGATTTGTCAAATAATTTTCTTTCAGTAAAAATACATTTATTAAGAAGACTTTGATTTTATGTTCCTACTGCTTTTAAATTTCTTGACGTGAGGAGTCATAAAAACTGAAAATAAGAGAATTAAAAATTCAGAAATGTTAAGTGAGACATTGTACAGGGAGGTACCAATTATGATGCTAATGTGAGGCATCAAATGAATTAAAATATTAATAAGAGATATTAACTGATGATATTGATGAATTAAATATTAATGAATTAACTGATGTATTAATTGATGACTGATTTATGAATATGCAGATATGGGTTAGGTGCAGATGTTTTCAAATGAAAATGTGCCAAAAATTAGAAAGTATTTTTCTGTCATAATAGTTCTGCTTTTCTTCTAACTAGATATTATTAGAAAAAAATAAAAACACTTGAAAGAAATATATATCTTAAATTTAGTATGTTAAGTAGTGTTCAGGAAGATATACAGTACAAAATCTGTGATTCAGAATCATCAGACTTTGGTGATTCTGCATTTTACATTTAAGATGACAAGTAGACATTATAAAATTAAAAATATGAAATAGTTGTTCATGAAATAACAAAGCATTTATGAGATGTTGAATATTCATTTGTTAATTTTATTAATTATTTCTTTTAGGTTCTTTGAGCTGTTCATTTTTTTTGTGCTAATATTTTCTCTTCTCTATTTCTGTACTAATACTCTTAATTTTATAGACAGACATAATTTCTTATTCAGTTACAAAATTCCATTGTTCAAATCCTGCAATTGCTGTGTCAGGAATTCTTACTAAACTGTCAGTGAAAATCTTTTCATTCCCAACAACCTCTTTGTCACTTTCTTCATTACGAGTAGTGATATTTTCTGGATTTAAAACCAAATTACAGATTTTGCAATCCATTTGTTGACTGATGATTTGAGCATTATCATCACAGTGGAAAACTTTTGTGATAGCATTTTTATTTATTATCACTCATCTGCATTTCTTGTCTAATTCCATTAATTGGGAAATTCACATTTGCTTGTGATATCCAACTGTCTTCAGATTAGTAGCTATTATCACGATCATCATCATTATGAAATATGGTAGCTGGCCATAAATCATGCAAAGCATTTTAAAAATATCTGCAAACACATTTTCCTATGACCTTGCAATGCTCCACACAGTAGATTTCATTGTTAAAATATTTTCAAACTTCTTAAATGATACTGTCACTTTCAGAAAATTTAAGGATAGATTTTAAAAAAGCTGCATTATATATATTAATGTGCACAGAACTTTTATATCCATTGGATGAATGATTGATACAGTGATAAAGCACCATCCTACAGCACTGTAAAAAACTGGTATTAACGAATTCAATCATGGTCAATGTTCAGTCCAGGATGAATTCTGTGAAAGTTGTGCCCGAAAATATCAATGCTGTGTGTGAACTGATAAAGCAAGATCATCATGTGACATACTATGAGATTGAGGCATCTTTGAGCATTAGTATGACAAGCATCAATATGATATTACATGAACATTTGGGGCCGTAAAATGGATTTGTTCACGTTAGATCCCACATAATCTGACAAATGCTCAAAAGAAGGCTTGTATCAACTGGTGCAAGGAAATGTTGGAAAAATATGTTCAAGGTGTATCAAAGGCTGTGTATAACATCTATACAGGTGACGAATCATGAATCTATGCATATGAGCCTGAAACAAAACAGTAGTCGACTACATGGGTATTCCAAGACAAGCCAAATCCAAGAATAGTTGTTCGCGGAAGAAGCACATCAAAGCAAATGGTTGCCTGTTTCTTTCTGAATGATTGATGTACAGTTTGGAGGAAAGAATAAGAGACATTATCTTTTTATTGAAACTTTAAGTGAAACATGAACCAAGCTGTTGTCTGTAATCAGGACAATTTTTGTATCATCCAGTAAACTACCTTCGAATGTTGCCAAGCCTCAGATATGAAATGATTCTCAAACCAGTCCATTACTGTTTGTGCCATTCATGCTTTTTTATTTGAACAACAGACATTTTTGTTAAACTGTACATTGCAATTACAAGGCTATGCATGCAACATGAGTCTAACCAAGAACAGACAAAGGCAGCTTTTCAGTTGTCACAGACTAGAATTTAGTGTGATTGTATATAAGAGTAAGGATAAAATCACCCCCTTTGTGTGGAAAATGAAAGTGTATATCGAAAATCAGACCCCGAATTCAATATTTATCAGAAAAAAAAAAAAGGTGCAGATTTCACATCAATATTTATTATATATTGCTATATGAAAGAACTTTATTATTTATCTATAACTAATTATATTTAACATTATAAATTGCATTTTTTGTTTTGTTTTAAATTAAGTGACTAAAATGATAGTCATTTTTTGTTTCCATTAGTGATCGTTCATAAAAATGTTATAAAAAATATTGTTAAATGGCCATTTAACAATATTCATAGAATTTTTCATAAATATTTGATTGTATTGTATAGCATTTTGTCTTTGAATTTCAACCAAACATTTCTTACTATTTTTTATATTCACAGATCTCAAGAAACATCTATTATTACCAGGATTCTTCACGTTATTTATATGCTCCAGAAAAATATGTAATCATATCGTTGTATTTTTATCTCATAGTATTAAGTCATGTTTATGCTTAGAATTTACCAAATACTACATCTGGATATGATTAGGATCAGCAGTCAAGGAAGTAAATTGTGTGGTCATCTTTCATGAACACTAGCATAAATTTGGAATTGCAGTTTCTTTATAGCGTGCACACAGTTTCTTTAAGATTTTGAGCCAAGAATTAGAAATCAGTTATAGAAAAACAATTCATTTTTACTGTTATTTTTTATGCACTCAAAACAACACTCTCTCAAAATTTTGACAAAACATATACAGTACGAAGTTCGAGATCCGGACTCATCGAGACTTTGGCGATTCCAGATTTGGGATTTTTCCGGATATTAGATCATCAGTTTAAATCTAGTAAGGTGACATGTAGAAATTATAAAATAAAAAATATGCAATAGTGGAGCATTTACAATCTAAAGGGTATCAAAATTTACCAAAAAAAGTTTAATATTTATTTGTTTACTTTATTAAACATTTCTTTGAATGTAAATTGTTTAAGTCACTTCGTTTTTTGTGCTATTTTCTTCAATTCTATAGACAGACATAATTTTTTGTTCAGTTACACAGTTTCACTGTTCAAGTCTTGTAGTTGCTCTGTCGCAAATTTCAACTAATTTGTCAATCAAAATTTTTCATTTTCAATAACCTCTCTGTCACTTTCTTCACTATCAGGAATGGTTCCTGGATCTAAAACCATACTACAGATTTCAATACAATTCAGGCTTAACTGTCTCAGTGCGCAACAGAAGCAAGATAAAATTTAACGGAACAACTTGTCATTAGTCGCCAAGCTCATGATGCAGAGCCAAATATGTATAGTGAAGGATAGCTAAATTTGATGATGATAGGCTCTAATTTTCAATAACCTCACTGTCAGGAGTTGTTCCTGGATCTAGAACCATACTACAGATTTCAATACAATTCAGGCTGAACTGTCTCAGTGCGCAACAGAAGCAAGATAAAATTTAACGGAACAACTTGTCATTAGTTGCCAAGCTCATGATGCACAGCCAAATATGTATAGTGAAGGATAGCTAAATTTGATGATCTAATTTTAAAGGTTTTCGGATATCGCGAAACAAAGGTGAAATCTTTCAATTAATGGATTTTGTAAAGAAATGTGGAGAAGCAGTAATAAATGAAGATGATATAAAAGAAATTTGTCATTGTGATGAGAATTCTTCTCAATCATCAATCAATTAATGAATGGCAAAATCTGTAATATGGTTCTAGATCCAGAAAATACTGCTACTGATAGTAAAGAAAGTGACAGAGAACTTACTGAAAACGAGAAAATTTCGATTCATAAGTTAGTCAGAATTCTCGAAACAGCAGTTACATGACTTCAACAACGTAACTAAACAAGAGATTATGTCTGTCTACAGAATTAAACAGAAAGTATTAGCATACACACACACACACACACACACACACACAAAAGGAAAAAAAAAAAAAAAAAAAATGAAGCAACTTAAACATCTTACATTGAAAGAGATGTTTAATAAGGTAAACAAATAAATATCAAGCTTTTTTTTTTTTTTTTTTTTTTTTTTTTGTAAATCTTGATACCTTTTAGATCATAAACACTTCATTATTTCATAAATCACAATTTCATATTGTTAATTTTATAATTTCCACATGCCATCTTACTAGATTTAGACTGATGATCTAATATCTGGAAAAATCCCAAATCTGGAATCGCCGAAGTCCAGATTTCGGACTTTGTACTGTATAAGGCATTTTGTCCCTCCTTTCTGCATGTCTTTGTGGTGTAATTGGAAGCATACTTGACACGTATTTGAGAGGTCCAGCTTCTAGTCCCAGGGAGGGCTTTTCACGTCTTCTGCTTAAAATCCTAATGACTCTACAACCTTCTCAAATAATAGTATACGTAGATTACTTGTACAACATGTAAGGCTCATGTTTGTGTTTTGTATTATGAGACTTCCCCCCCCCATCCAAAGAAAAGAAATATTTATTTGAATATGAGGGAAACAGTAGTTTGTCATTCATTTGTTGTTAGAAAAAATAAAAACAGTGTTGTCTTATCATAAAGTCTTCACTTGCATTTTAATAAATAAATTCTAAACAACTTAGTTTCTAAATTCCATTACTATTTCAGACTTTTTACTAATCCCTTACACACATGTATACCATAGAGTTCTTTATGCAAAGAAATAAAATTAATTTCAAAACTATTTCATATGGAGAGTAGTATAAAAATTATGAGGTACAGGCTTCTTATAAAACAAAAAATTGCATAATTAATTTTCAATATTCTCTAAATAACCCAAGTTCAGAATGCATTATGCAAAAGACCAAAGAAATAACAGCACTAAAACTTTTCTTAAAGAATCATTATATATCTTTTTATTTGTCTTGACTAGTTCAAATTTTGAGATTTGTTAGCTATTTTTATTCGCAAAACTGAATGATATGCATTAATTCCCTCTATAAACTGCTCTGAGGTATAGTGAATCACAATACTAACTGACAGGGAAAATGTGTAAAATTTAACGCAGACATGTAGAGAACTTTTTTTTTTATTGAAAAAAAAGTGGTACATATGTGCCTTGTACAAATTATTTACAAGGCAACATAATTTTCATTCATAATAGCTATAGATTAACTAAAAAGATTAACAAACTTTTAAATAAAAATAGATATATGTAATTATAAAAACTACCTTTCTAAAAGTTAAAGAAAAGTCAAGCAAATGCACACTGAACAATTTTACTCATATCAATATAAAAAGTAATATATAAATAATTGATGATTTTATATTTCAGATTATAAAAAATATGTCAGTTTTAATTGGACACAAGTAGTCATCCACTTAACTTTTCAAACAAACTAAAACTTAAAAACATAATTTTGACTATTTTACAGTCTGTTTCTAACAAGTCTTAAAAATATATTGCTGTTTATGGTTTAGCCATCAGCATAAGATGGACATTCTTTCATTGGGGTGACTGTTTGTTGGCTTGTAAATTTAATGATCTTTGTTCTAGAAAACTATCCAAGTCAAAAGGCTTAAAATCTGGAAAAGAGAGGTATTTTATTCATTAATTTGAAAAGATTTTACTTCCTGCATAACATTCAATTAAATAGTCATATTCAATTTTAATTCAATATTCAATTTCAATTCAATTCAATTTGTATTCTTTAACATAATTTGAAAAGCTTTTAAAACAAGATTTATAATATATGTCAATAACAAAGCTATTTTTCAATTGCTTTGCTAATATAAAAATTTAACCCGATTCTAGTTTTTAAACTGAAAGAGTTAAGTATGTAACTAATATATTCCAAATGAAAAACGTTTGGGATTATGTTATTACAAAGCATATTTTAGTTATAAAAATCTGACTGCAAAATAAATTAGCTTGAATCATTGAATCAAAATATTTGCATACAAATTGTTTTCAAAATCACCAAAGTATCAATCAGATTCAAAATCTTGCAATGCACACACACACCAAAAAAAAAAAAAAAAAAATTACATCTTGAAAAGGTAATGTAGTTTTTTTTAATGTAATAGAGAAAACAAATTAAAATAGTAATCAGAATTTGTGTCGAGAGTACGCATTTATAATGCAAATCTGACAATAAATCATCAAACTAGCACAATTTTTGGCACCTTTACAAAATATTACAAATTTCATAAAAAAAAAAAAAGGAGTTTTTCATGAAAGATTGTAAAAATTGGAAAAAAAAAAATTCCTAAAAAGTTGCAAATATGATGGAATATAATAATTTTTCTGAAAAACTGTATAACATTAGCTGAATGTTACTTATTTTGTAATACTTTTCATGTATCATACCTGGACGTGGAAGTTGCTCATCAGGCAGATTGCTTGAATAATATGCAACACTTGGAGCTACAACAGAAAAATGCTAAGTTTTTTTATTCACATTCTCACTTAAGAGATTCATGCATATTTAATTTATGAACATTTAGTTTTAGAAACAGAATTTAATCTTCAAAAATTAATTCTGTGATGATTTTAAGTACAAATATTTTAAAAAATAGCATAGCAACAAAAAATAATTCTTGGAACTCAGATTCAAGGAATAAATAAACATCCAATTTGGATATTTATCATCCATATGAATTGGCAAGATTGCCATTGCATGAAACATTTAATTTATAACTTATCATCTACATTAATTTCTATTAGTTTTCAGAGTATTCTGATTTTATCTTTCAAAATTAAGCAACCCATAATTGTTTAACAAACTGAGCTATTTAGAAGCAATAACCACACTTCAAACTACACTACAGAGCTTAATTTTTAATAGAATGTTTCATATTATCAGATAAAGCTGGTGATGCCGCTCAGAGAGTTAAAGTAATAGACTATAACAAGTGTAAAGGAGAGTGTGAGTTTGTAAAATTGCTTTGGATATCAGTTGAGTAAAATATTTTTTGCAAGGGAAACAAAGATTGCAATAACTCTTTACTTGTTCTCTTTTAAAGACAGCATTTTTTTTTTGGTTTGTTTTTGTTTATGTGTTACTATTCAAAATGTTAACTTTTTATTATTTGAAAGGACTAAGCTGTCTTCATTATTATTTTTATTAAACATCCTGGCATTTTGAAAATGTTAAAATTTGTACTGAACACTCAATTTAGCAGACTATTTTTCATTTCCTGACTTTCTAGGATTTTCCAACAAGTGGAAATCCTGATACAATACATAAATTATTGTATTTTCAGATTTTTATTAGACTGGTTATTATATTTCCTATTATTTTTAATAACATTAAATCAACTTCTTAGAGTATCTAATTAAAGAAATTATCTGGACTATCTAATACTTAGTAATGCCTTTAGTATTAAATTAATATTGCAGTTAGATACTCACTGAAATTCATACAGATTGTAATATGTTATATTATTAATTTGGAAAAGGTGAAAGTATTTCTAAAATTTTTGCAAATTACTAATTCTAACCTTTTCCATCTGTGCCACAGGATCTTGTCACTTCAATTTCTCTACAAACATTTTTCCATGCTAAAAAAGCAATATGCATCATTAATGCATTAAATATTCCACATATTTTCAATGAAAAAACACTGCACATATTTTGCATAAATATAAATGTTATACATTAAGCATAATTACACATTTTTTAAATTCTCAGATTCTTTAACAAGTCATGTCACACTATTTTAAGAGGAGGAAAAATCATTGAAAGGAGAAAATTAATAATAAAATTACTTTGGTAGAATACACCCTTTCAAATCTTGAAAAATACTGGTTATTTTTAAAAATGATTTTTTAGTTTCTTTTATGAAAAGGTTACTTTTTATAAAACTGTTGTTCAACTAGAAGTAGAAAATAATACTTATGGAGTTTGAAAGTTCAATATTTTATCTGGAAATAACTGTAAATGTAAGAACAGGGATAAAGATCTAAAAACACACTGTAGTTCTTATGGACTTCTGAAAAGTTTTTATATGCTTTGTAAGGAACTTTTCAATAGGAAAATAATGTTTACAGTTATTACACTTTAAAAACGGACTGTTATAGAATACAAAAGATACAAAACACTGACTTTGATTTGGGGTTCTATTCTTGACAGCTGAACAGGCTACATGAGATTTTTTCATGTGTGATATGAAATATGGGCTGTTTTTTCTCAGAGTCTACCATAAAGGTACTCTTTATGGTAATATGTCACTACTACTTCATAATCCAACCCAATCAATTTATACTTTTCAAAAATAAACCTAAATAATTTTTTATTTCAATCAAATAACATACAAAATATTATCTTATTCTACAATTTTATATTCCACTCTCTACTACGACTCTACAAGTTTTTCAGCATAATAATGTTTTAATAATTTTTTTTAAAAAAAATAATAATACAGTTATAAACTAATGACTAAATAATTCTGTTCCCCCACAAAAGAAGTATAACCTGATGTTTCAGATGTCATTTTAATGCCAGAAAAGCTGACATTGACAGACTACAGTCTAACAATGTGAAGCATGCAAATTAATCAAAAGCATCTAATCCAATCCTTTAGCTTTCATGGATAAAATTACTTTAAGTTAAATAACATGATTAAGTTATGCTTTATTTTTGGATTATTAAAAGTTTTACTACAATTTTATAAATAGTTTGTAGCATGACAATGTTTTAATAAGAAATTCAGGCAAAGAAAGAGTTAGAAGCAAAACAAATTTGACTTATTTGTAAAGCTTATTTATTAAACAAAAGGTAAAGAGCAAAAAAAAAAAGATGCTATATGTTTGATATTATTAAAAAAATTAGCGATTTTTTCTCCCTGGAGCAAATTACAAAAAAAAAAAAAAAACATATTTACAAAAAACCAATGTTACATGGTTAGTATGATTGTTAATACATTGTATGTCTCCCAGACGATGCAATACAGTCCGTACAACGCCTAGGCAAACTGAGTATCAAATTCTCGATCTGATCTTGGGGGATATTACACCACTCAAAAAGCAATGCCCTCCGAAGTTCTGGTAGACATGTAGGAGGAGGTTGACGGGCTGCAACTTGTCGGCCAAGCATGTCCCACACGTGCTCTACTGGATTCAAGTCCGGTGAGAACGCTGGCTAGTCCATACGGGTGATATCCTCCGATTAAAGGCATTCGCTTAAGATGTTTGCACGGTGAGGACGGGCTTTGTCATCCATAAACACAAATTGTGCGCCCATGGCGCCCCGAAACAAATGTACATGTTGTTCCAGAATGACGTTCTGATAGATTTGGCTTGTCATGGTTCCAATTTGAACATGAAGGTCAGTTCTGGAACCCAGAATAATTCCACCTCAAACGAGCACTCCTCCACCACCGTAACGGTGTCGTTCAATGATGTTTTCTTGGTGGTAACGGGTACCTGGAACTCTCCATATGAAAGTCTGACGAGAATCAGACTGCAAGCTAAACCTGGAATCGTCGGAAAACATCACACAAGCCCACTGTTGCGGTGTCCACAATGCATGCTCTCTGCTCCAGGCTAACCGCAAGCGACAGTGAGTTGCAGTAAGTGGAACGCATCTAACAAGTCTACGAGCATATAGACCAATCTGCCCTAAGCGTCTGTACTACACAGTCTGCCTTGAAATTGTCGTACCAGTGGCTGAAGAGAGCTGACGAGATAGGTCTGAGGCTGTGCTCCGCCTGTTTCTTTTGGCAGTAACTGCCAAATACCGGTCCTCATTCGGCGTTATATCTCTGTGGCGACCTATGCTGTAACGTCTACTCACGTTACCATCATCTTGGAATCGTTGCCAAAGCCCGGAGATGACACTCTGGGCAATTCCAAGTTCGTCTGATATTTCAAGTTGGGTACGCCCACATTCCAGACGGCCGATAATTCTACCACGTAAAAAAATCATCAAAATGCATCCTTGTGTCATAACTATTCGGTTATTGCATGAAGTGCTATAAAGCGCCTGCGAACAATTTTACTCTTTGCCTGTATTCCTTATAAATCCACTCTCTTACACTCTCGTCATTGTGACGTACCATCGCGTCATCTGGTTACTTCTTGAAATTTGCATATGATTCTTGAAGATGTGTGTAGTGATTTTACAGGTGATATATTTATTTTAGAGTTCGATTTCCGCGTGACTCCAAATTATCCTTAATTTATGGACATGAGTGTATTTATGAACTTTTAGCTAGACAAGGCATTCTGCATAATGCAATACCCTCTGTCTCCTCATCCAAACAAACTTATTTCTTTCTTTCTTTCTTTTTTCAGATTCCTGTCTGATACAATTTTTTTATTCCAGCAATTTGTTTATTTTTATTGGTATTTCGATGTACGTCTTAAGTACGTACATCGAAGTACCAATAAAAATAAACAAATTGCTAAATAAATTTATTTGTACGTACGTAAGTATTAGCACGTCGTTGAAAGTTAGATACCCTATGAAATTATGAAAGTTGGTGGAGATCCTGTCACCAACTTTCATAATTTAAACATGTAGAATTTTTAAGGAATTGACACCTCTTTATTACATAAACAAACAGTATTCAATCCAGTTTGTTTCCACTCTTTGTAAAATGGCTTTTTTCAGTTTCTTCTATTTTGCTGGATCCTCTGATTTTACTAGAAGCTTTATTAAGAAATCCTATATGTACAGATTTCAAACTGATCCAATCTATTACCGTTTGATCAGCCATATTCAACTCATTGTATTGTATCCATTAAGTTTTCCAACTGATTGTATTGTATCCATTAAGTAATCCACTTTTTTTCAGTTAAGATCCTTTAATTTTTAAAGTAATCCACTGCTAATTGTAAAAGGCATGTCCCAAATACCGATTATTTTTTTGTTTCAAAATGTTAGGAAAAAAATTCAGCATTAAAAATTAAATTATGACCTTTTTCATATGAACAAAAGATAGCTTATTAAGAACTAATTAAAGTGTATAGCAAATGAAAGCACAGATTTATCAGAGTTTTGTTATGTCATGCTTATCCTCAACTAGTGATAAATCACACTACTTGTCAATAGTTGCACTGTTGATGGAATAACATACATGTACCTTTTTATTTATTTGACATAATGCGTTTTTGTCTGTCGGTATCAGAATAAAAGTAGAGGTGAAATGAATATTGTTTGTTACATGGAAATATATTATTTTTATTGCAACAATCAGAAAATAATAAAATTGAAACAGTCAATGAAATTCCATACTTTGGAAACTGGTCTCATTATGTACCAAAAACAGATTCAAAAACTGTTATGGAAATTATTATGAAGCATGTGGAGGAAAGACTAACTACTTATGTAGATTGCTGGCAGACATACAATACACAGGAACTGGAGAAAGCTGGATACAATCATCTGAGAATAAATTATAAATTTAACTTTATTCATATGAAAATGCTCACATCCAAAACATAGATTATGGGGGTTCCACAAAATGGTGAAATGAAAAGCAATGACATATGCTCTGCACCACATTAAATTGTATCCAGAAGAATTTATGTGGCATCAATATGCCAGATAAACCATATTAAAACCTTTCAAAACTATATTAACAGCAACTGTAGATATATGCCAAAAAGAAACTATATGCAAGAAATAAGTGTAAGTGAGAAGATGTGTGCAAGTAATAAATGTAGGCATAATTCTGCTTTGCTTCACTTTTCCCATAATGTTTTTTTGATTGGCACTTTTTTTAATGATATACATATTGTGCTTGCCAATTTTCTTTTATGGTAGATATTGCACCACACAAGTACCTATTTTTTTTCTAATTAAAATGAAAATGAAGCATCTCCGATATCATAATGGACATCATTTCCAGTTTTATTTCAAACTCATTGGGGTCTTTTTAAACGGTCATGATTTCAGAATAAATTACTCAAACTGATTTTTGTTTAAAACTTTTAATGGGTTTAGGGCTACTAAGATGTTGATTAAAAAAAGAAAGAATGGGGAAAAACAGCAGATGTATCTGAATAGAAGTTGATGAGAAACTTGTAGATGCTTTTACAAAACCAAGAAAAAATTCATGTAATGTTACGAAATGCCCAGCCGTGGTAAGATAGCTTTCCT